GGATCTGGAGAAATGCATTGGCCGTCTATCCGGTGCCCAAGAAACAGAACGTCTGTCCGGCCGAATTCACATTTAGACGGTTTGCAATATAGCTCATTCCTCCTGAGGGCGTTTAAGATGGTTCTGACATGATCGAGGTGCTCCTCCCATGATTTGCTGAATATGAGGATATCGTCTAGAAACACCACAACGAATTTACGCAGGTATGGCTGGAGGACACTGTTCATCAAGGTTTGGAATGTTGCCGGGGCATTTGTTAGGCCGAAACCCATCACTGTGAACTGAAAGTGACCGAATGGGGTATTTATTGCTGTCTTCGGAATATCTGTTTCTTCTATTCGAATCTGATTGTAACCGGACCTCAGATCTAGCTTGGTGAAATACGCACTGCCTTGGACGGTATCAAAGAGGTCGTCAATATTCGGTAGGCATGCCTTGTTCTTAATGGTTATGCGGTTTAGCTCACGCCAGTCGCATACCATTCGAAGTGTTCCATCCGCCTTCTTTACGAAGAACACAGGGGCTCCGTATGGGGATTTGCTGGGCTGGATGAATCCTCTACGGAGCAGCTCGGTGAGCTGAGCTTGAAGCTCATCCATCTCTGGTTTTGGTAAACGATATGCTGCACGAGATGGCGGTTTAGCTCCTTCTTCCGTTTTTATCTCGTGATCTGCGCCTCTTCTGGGTGGCAGCTTGTTTGGAAGCTCATCGGGAAAGACGTCCCCGAACTCCTTCAGCAGGTCCTTGAAATCCTTCTGATCCTCCCTACCCGGACTATCCACCGTCTGTGGCTCGTCCGGATCTGCTGTCACATACGCTAGGATTCCTTCTGCGCCACCTCTCATTTCATGCCTAGCCTGCTTCCCTGAGAAGAGGAACGTCTCGATCGGTGGGTTGGATTTGTCCGTGCCATCACTTTCACTCGGTTGACAGATGATGGATCCACCCTCCAGCTTGATTTCATTGGTACGAAAATTGATCTGTGGGTTCGTCCGGGTCAGCCATGGTTTGCCGAGGATCACGTCATACCTCGTCATAGGGAATACTAGGAACTGTTGGTGCTCGCTAAAGTCGCCGACTACGGTCTTCAAGCTGTCCGTTTTCGTAATAGGCTGTGAGCGGACCGATCCATCAGCAAGTGTGACGTTCAGGACGTCGCTACCGGTTGTTGTGGAGATGTTGTGCTTCTTGACAAGGTCAGTTGAAATGAAGTCGTGGGTTGACCCAGAATCCAGTAGCATGGTAACGCGACGTCCATTTATCTTGCCCTGGACGCGCATTAGGTCATGTTCGTTGTCGGCGGAAATGCTCCCTGTGCTGGCGGTTACTTCATTAGGCCGGCCAACAGTATCAGGTGACGAATGCTTGACAGGCGAGGCTTGAATTTCGGTCTCCTCGAGGCGTGTTTCCTCATTTGCTAAGGGGCTGAATTTGTTCTGAACTTTGATTCGTGGCCTATTCCTGGGTGCTCTCGTGTTCGCCAGTAGTCGCACTCCCTTCCTTACTGGCGTCCATCGTTTAAAGAAGGCTTGCTTGTGGCGTTCCTCCCTCCTTCTGGACAGAATCTGGCAATATGGCCGGGTTTCCTGCAGGTGAAACACAGCCTTGAACGACCCTCTGGCTCCCTGGTTTCTCTCCCACCGGATGGTGTTGGTTGGCTTGACCAGGGTCCAGACTGGCGCCTCTGATGCCCTGGTGCGCGCACTGCCTTGGCGTAGCTTGCTTGGGCTAGCCGCATCGACTGGTCTGCTGAGACCGCAGCTCGTATGGCTTGGGCCAAATGTTGCGGATGCTCCCTAAGTACCTCACCGCTTAGGCCCTGAGCCAGCCCACGCGTGAACAAGATAGCTCTGGAGTGGTCATCAAGCTCGGGAACTTGTAAGCTAAGCCGCGAAAATTTGTTGATGTATTCGTCAAGAGTCTCATCTTGGTGAAGAGCGAATAAGTCGATGCGCGCCTGTTCCCTGTCATAAACCGGGCCGTACACTTCTCCCAGCTTGCTCTTCAGGTCTGGCCAGTCGGAAAACAGCGTGTTTGCCTCCTGAGAGGCGATAAACCAAAGACGAGCGTTGCCCTCCAGAAAACTCGCCGCGTAGCTCAAGCGCTCCTCCGCGTTGTCCAGCTGCAGGGACTTCATGGCGAGTTCGATGGCGAAGGCCCACTCCTTGAACTCTCTTGTATCTCCACGAAACACAGGCGGAGACTTAACATGACGCATGCGTGGCCTCTCTCCGCTGGGAGCTTGAGCACGTCTTGGCGTTTGATCTGATCCATCGCACTGACCGAGTGCGATAAGGTGATTCAGACGCTTCTGAATCTCGAATATACCGTAGGCGACTAATGCGGCCACTGCGCATAGCCCGAACATGACGAAAAGAAAAACCATCCTCTTGCTACCAGTGTAACAGTCCAACTAACTTCAGTAGTCATTCTTGGAATAAGCAATGATCCTTGCCATAATGCATTCTTATATACATGAACAAGCAATGATGGACATAACACCTAACAGCAGCAGCGTGATAATAGCAGGTGATAAGTGTATCCTATTCCTAGTGTTAGTAGTAACAGTGAATCTGTTACACCCTTCGTACACATTTCATACTTTATTGTACGTACCGCCAGTAGTGGTGTAGGATAGAGTTGAAGTTGACATTGTTGGGATGACTAAAAAATGTGTTAAAAAAGGACACACATGGCATATTTAGCAGATATCTTCATGGTTTCGAGCCAGACCTACTTACATTCAGACATTTCTTCGAACATTGCCGTTGCAGTGTGATTTTCTAAGACATCGAGGGCCCAAGCTCATAAAATTGAGGTCCAAAACCGTAGGAATTGGGATTACTATACGTTGTCTGATGATTGGTTCAGCCATGAAACTCTGAGTCACAACGGAATAAATTTGCCAAGGTTTTCATATTGCCTCTGTGTATAAAAAGGATTGTAAGTTGAATGTACAAAGGTAGTTCCTGAAAAGATGACTCTGCAACCGTGAGAGAAATAGACTTGTACACATACTTTGTCATTTCCAGACCTGGTCCTTGCGAGTCTCATACATATACGTCAATGTTTGGAAGAAAGTCGCAATGCAAGAATGCTTTCGGTTTGGATGGATAAAGCAGTTTGATTTCTCTCTGTTTCCCCGGATAAACACACGGTGGAGTTTAGAGGTGACATGTGTGCAGCCATTGACTGTGTAGGTCTGCTATGGAGCAATGACACTTTAGCTGACTCACTAGAACGCGTTCAGGCTATTTTCAACTCCCCGTTTCTACCATAAAGGTTTCAACCTCGCCAAACACCTCGAAATCACCAAACCAATTCGACTTGCAATTTAGCAAACGCCCCCATGAAGTGTTAAACATGCTCCATCTCAAATTAATAAGAGCTTGCAATTCTCCTATAAAAAATAAGCATTAGATTACACTACACCTACCCCTTGTCACATGCGTCGTCTTAGTTGCGAGATCTAAACAAACACGAGCAGGCCCACATATGCCGATATGGCATATAACGTATACATGTCCACATGCGTATGCCATTGAACCAAGCAGAGGTAATTTGATCACCCTATCCCACCATTAGCGGCACATGGTGTGATTTAGTACAACGTGAACAACATGCATGGCATTTCACAATTATTCTTGACATAAAGCAGCGTTTCGAATCTACCACGAAATCTGGGTGTTCTGGTATGTTTTCACTGTGAAGGTCTCATGTTGGTTGCCAATCGCATACAATGGAGCAGTGAGAGTATTGTATAGGAAAGTGTTTGCTCCTGGCATCGAAACTCCCGCTTTCCGGCCGACTGGTCAACTTGAGTAAATCACGACTGAAATTCATGCATACAGTCACTTCATAAGTCACACACCCCACCCAATTTAATCTTGTACATGTGTGTAAAAACTATTTTTCAGTTGTTCTTCCCTACATGTACATCATAGCTTCCACCCTCCCCCCCCCCCCTACCACCACCACCAACAGCAATGACAACGAATCATTCGTCTCCCTCTCCCATATCTCTCCAAAGGGCATTTCTTCACAGCGTCGATGGCCTGTCCGAACACCATTTTGTTCGCCTCTGTGTCCGTGTTAGTTGAGCAAACTGTGAAAAGCCACACAAACAATTCTTTCGAAGATGGCAACCTAGCCTGGCAACCCTTAACCATAGTCGAACGTCTGCAGCTCTCACACACATCCTTGACCGCCCAGATTAATCCAACGGTTATACTCTAAATGTAGTCACAAGCCACTGGCAACAATGTGGCACGACAGTACTACACGATCTTACACCGTTCGTCAACCAGAAGAACGCAGCTCACTCCAAACCCCGCCCCCAGCCCCAGGTCGACCCTCAGCTGAAACAGATAATATTTCATCGACGAAGCTCAGCCTGTCGCGCCTCAATATAGCACCCCTTGGATGACCGCCTCAGACAGCAGTATCGGGCAATACGTCGTCAAGGAGGAAACGATTTTAAATTGATTGCAACACCAACATAGAGAGCGCTAGCGCAATCGTCCTATCTAATAATTCTTGTTGTTTTTGGCACTACACTAGGATGTGGTTGAGGCAATAGTATTAATTAACAAAGAAGAAAGGACCACTAAGTTAGCAGTTAGGACTAAGAGTGCACCAAAGGAACGAGAAACTATCCAGTCAGCTACTGGGACAGCAAGGTGCTTGGCACTTTCCATAATTTATTATTATTTTACCAGATTTATTGTATTTAATCCGGAAGTTGTTTCCCCACACCCTTTTGCTAAGATATGTCGCTATTAAATCTGGACAAGAAAATCATACTATGGTTTCCGAACTACTCGGAACCAAAAGCCACGTGCACATTTGCACTCTAGCATATCTTGCAGAACGGTGTTTTCATTGATGTGATGGTCATGTCTATTCCATTAGTTGCTTTGGCAACTGCTGCTTGCAGTCTCCCATGTTGTTTTCAGTGCTACACAATTAGCTAAGGTCGACTGGTGCATTGGCGTGTCAAAGGCGGATCTATGCAGTTTCAGTTTTGTGCCCGATATTTTGCGCTTAAATAAAGAGACCTACGAGATCTGATGATAAAAATCCAATATTGTGGGAACAATTGCATCCATAAACGTGATCATGCCGAGATTTAAATACTAAATGCAGTGCTTGGCGCATTCAGTTCAAGTGCAGAGTGAAGTAGTTAACGAAATAGAACTTGCCCGTGACAATCGTTGGATCCATATGAATGACTTCTAAATAGAACCCAACAGAATGCGCACATAGACACCAGCGCCACAACGCACACACGTTATAGGCATAAAGACACAGATACAAACACACCACTCTAAATCTAATAGACAACTATACTTTGACCATAGAAAGCAAATAATTACTTCAGAAACCTGATATCAATTATCAATCTGAGATAAAATGCCGCTTCAAAAAAAAGTTATTGTTTAATAATGTTTGCACTCTTACTGAGACGTCTGTTAAAAAAATTGATTAAAAAGAAGCAAGAGCGTCAGCTGACGTTAGCACCCTTTGTGCATCGATTAGGGGTGTGCCGATAACGCTCGAAAGGGTGGCAGACTCTGCTCGAAAAGCAGTGAAATTGGCCAAGCCATACAAACCTTATGGCGGGCATTCCTCGAATTCTGCTCCATTTCTTTATCCACATACTTTGCAAACATGCATGAAATTTACCAGAAAAAGTACGGAATTCTGCCAATTTTTTCTGCCGGCATTTTCCGCATATGCCTAGCATCGATGCTGTACATTTGCGTACAAATCTCAAACCCTGGTTTTTTTCCAAATGTGTAAGGCATCCCTAGCGATGGTTTGGGTTTGAAAACACAACATAATCCAGTCTTTTCGGAGCAGAACGTTCAAACCCATACACAAGCCGAACTGGTGAGGGATGAATTCCCTCTGTATTGAGCAGGGAGTAGTGGGTTCTTGCAAGTTTGACCAGTGCAAGGTACGACAGGCTCCTCATGCGCTCTGGATAGCAGTCGTAATTCATTCAAGTGTCAAGTCAGTCAGCAGGAAGCGCAGGTTGCTACTTTTGGTGCAGCCACACAATAATTGCTGGCTTAGATATTTTGCTCTATTCCCTTTCATGAGCCCAATGATGAGAAAGAGACAAACACGTGATACTCTCGCTATCTCTTCTAGACATTAAGTTAAACATGATGTGTAGTCTGCGTAGACCCATATATTATAGGTGGCAGTAATACCATGCATTGCCACCAGGTATTCAGTATGTTCTCCTAGCCATGATTCTTCCACCCATTCTCTGGCTACATCGACCCTGCAGTGGAGAAATTTTAAAACGTAGACCTGTGCTACAGACTTCGTACCTGTGCAAACTGGTAGGTTAGACAGCGTCCCGTTTTGCAGACATGTGACGATACTCTCATTTCCCGTGGAAGTGTAGTTAACAGCGCAAGCTATAATCATAGACTTATTCACTTCCAATCTCGGAATATTGCTGACAGTGAAGTTTAAGTCTTGAGCGGCGCAATGGGTGGCTGAAGTAGGGAATGGACAGAGAGCAATAAGAGTAAAAGCACACCCTGTCAACAGGGCTGACTAAGGAAGTACACACATAATCAGTGCTCACAGGATTACACCAAGGACTCGAGTACCCACTCGCTGAGTACTCGAATTCAAGTGGGGACTCGATACTCGATTGAATACACGTATATGACAAGAATGTAAGCTGTCCTGACTTTTCTGTGTAGCACAAATTGAAAAGGTCCACTGAGGTAGTTCCTTTCGACGATTTCAGAGCTGTGCTTCTGCTACTGGAAGCTAATAGTTATGTATATGTAAGTGAGAGAGAGAGAGAGAGCAGAAGAGTCAGAAAGACGTCACTGACTTCGGGCGAAACTAGGAAATTTGCCTACCTTGTACAATAAACATGTATGTCATGTAACATCATGTTGGCGTGGTGACAATGTGCACATATGAGCGACTGGGTTCACTTATAGAGTACTCCATACTTGACTCGATAGTGGCAATATTCGTTCGATAGCTTATAGAGTAATCATTTGACCAATACACCATGGACACGTGAGAAGCTCACCAAAACGGACGCATACATCAATGTGGAGAAAGGAACGGACTTTACGGCACCAAACAGTGGTACATGTTTACTTACGCAAACAGCCCTGAGCAGACCTTGTCCAGATTTCATCAGTACTGCTACATGGGCAATTTATGCCTTGTATGTTAGACACAGTGATCCTGGCACAGCTGGTAACACTGGCATTATTGCAAACCATGGAGCAACCTAGAATGCAGCATATAGAAAACAAACAATATTCCAATGAAACTGATTCATCTCGTGATGACAGCTATACTTACAAACCCTTTTGATTTCCTAATTTCCTTGTACTTGGCCTTACTCCCTGACCCTCCCCTCTCATGAACATATATAAAATAGCGCAAATAAACCACACACTCGCAAGATGAAACACCATTGTGCACTTGGTAGTAGCTACAACTTCATGAAGGAAACAGCTGGTCAACCTCATATCAAATTCCACAGAAGCCTCTAAGTCCTCATGGTGTTAATACTGTATGAGATGAACACTGCGATGTCTTCTATAATACTGTACCACGATATTGTTCAATCTGACTAAAGAGGGCAATTAAAATGAAAATATCAGTATGCTGTGAACAGAAACTGGACGGAATATGCTTCAGAATTGGGAATTCCTTGGACCACTTGGATACAGACTTACTTTCACACAATGGTGGACTTGGTTGCCACCTTCCATTGCCCTGGCATATAGACTGGGTTATTTCCATACTATTGTTAGACAGAAAACCTGTTCTGCACTCGATGGGTACTGGGGTACCTGGTTGTCTGCTGAGACCGGGAATAGGTTTGTAATTGAACTTGCTGTCATTGAGATCTGGACATAGCGCTGGGAACGAAGCGGTAAAATGCACGGCCATTACTCACAGTTAGTGAAAACCTCACCCAAAAAAAGTGCTACGATGGTCCATAAAGATAGAAGCAGACAATGTTTTAGTGGTCCAATTACAACAAGTGTACATCCAGACCGGCGACACTTGTCCGTGTTCTGTTGAAAATCATTTTTTCACATATTGAAATTGGACAATAATGAATGAAATTTGATGGAAGCTTGAAAAAGAACAGCAACCATTGTTGATCGGACAGAAAAATAACAACGTTTAGACAGGAAGAGCATGCTATTATATACAGGAAACGTTCCCCACAAAAAATTAGTCGACAACATCAGAGAAGACCTCGTACCTCTGAATGTGCCGATTCAGGAATGCCTCAACCTCGCCACCAACAAGCAACTCTGGTTAACGATCATTGACAGATGCATGACCCCAGTATGATTATTCATACGGCAATGTGCGACCGGTTCATATTATTATAATGCACGTTTGAAAAGAAGCATGTGATGGATACTTGGATACAAGCCATATAGAGATAACCATCACTATAGTGATAGGTAAGTGGATGGCTGAGAGGACATCATGGTGTGTTAAGTTATGCCCGCAGGGTATCCCAAGGGTCATCGATGTGATGGAAGGGGAGCTGATGTGCCTGCAAGATCATCCAGACCTCTTTGCGCTTGTGCGTGCCTCGCCACGAAGCTAGCCTCATCTCACGCAGCTCCGTATGCATCAGCTACAAACAGTGCCCCCCCCCTCCCATACGGCTCCCAACTTTCTTCAGCGTTCGATCCCATATGGTATGGCTAATGAATGGATCAGGCTGCCGCAAGACATGTGCCCTGAACCTACAATACATGTACGCCCGGCATGTACGTAATGTACGGCATGTACATGTACGGCTGAAGATTCTCCAATCCTTCCACAGGAAAGTCCACCGCCACTTGCGCCAAATGAATTGGCTCTGGGCTACGGACTCTCTGTGATGCTTTGTCACCCGTCAATGAGCAACTACCCTCGTCCATCATCCCTTTCTTGTTTTTTCTTTCATTTATCTTTCGCTTTCTTATGGCTCTATCTCTCCTTTCTCACTGGATCTCCCTCCCTTCCTCCCTACCTGCAGTCCTGTGGATGCCTGGACATGGCTATGATTCCTAGACCAACGGTCGGATGAGTCTTCCCAACCACGTACGCACATCGTTCCTAATCTCCTGTGTCTTGTTGTTCATTGGCATTTCAGTTGACCTCTTCCCCTGATTATTAGTAAGGCTGTGTTTGCCAGTAAAAAGAAAGAAAAAGGTGAGGATGCTGAGTAGCCTCAGTAGAAACAACATGATCTAAAAAGCAGTGTTCAGTTTATCCATCGTCATCCTTGGTCTTGCGGAACTGCGCCACAGGTGATGTCAAATGTCTCAGTACGGCTGCAAATCGGCAAAGTGTTGACTTTTCTGTGTTCATTGTCGATAGCGCTTACCTTCATGTACATTACAAGATCTGTACTCAACACAGAATACTTGTGTACAAGAGTACTGTGAACTGTGATCGGCATGCATACCTGACGAGTACATTAGACTTCATAATCAAAATACTTTCAAACATTTACCCTTGAACTTTGATACTAGTAACTGTCTATTAATTTAAGGAAAATCAGCAAGCAAGATGTATCTCATGGTAGGTGTATCCTGCTCATTTCACCACCATGCCCAAGTCTACAAACTTAACGTACCACGGCGTCAGTGGGTCCAATGCGCAGGACATGACATATGTCTTACACATGTAATGATGTCCTCAGTGGCAAAAGGTTTTAACCTCAACGCTATGGGCCTACCCTGGAATGACCACAAGAAGCACATTCCTGAATTTCGAGGTGCATCATTCTATTTCAAATCACAACATTGATTTTATTTGACCATTTCTGATAATTTTGACTTTTTGACATTTTTGGGCTCCTTGGATACGCCTTGAAGAGAAAATCAATATGAGCAGGGTGTTCGCTGCCTCGAACCCAGTTCCATTTTGACTGGAAACAGGTTTGTAGGTGGTCCGTGGCAGAATCGTACTTCACTGTGTTTTCTGCCTTGGCCAGGCAAAATTTTAGCAGCTCAGGACGAGTTGGTTTCTTTGTTGGAAAGAGGAGATGTCTCTGCTGTTGAGACCGTAAGTCCCGTTTTCACACGACGAATTTTAGCAATGTTCCGCCCTGCGCAATTAATCGGTATCGATTTTGGCCTGTTCTGGGCCGTTCGCAACGCCTGCGACCATTCCATCGTCTTCAGCGTCGAATAACTACGCAGTGTGTGAAATTGGAGGCTGTACGCTGCTGTCTTCTTGTTCTATGAGCGATCGATTTTCTCCAAGATACCAAATGTATGGAGTACATGGACATGTACATTGTACATGGAGTTGACATGGTTGATGGACTTTGCTGTAGTGCTGTTTATTTGTAGTTTCGCTGAGGTACCACATCAGGTAAACCTCTTTGCTGTATCTAGACACTGGAGAAAGCCATTGTCAAGAACAGATTTCCGGCCCATACTGCGTTCAATATGTACCTGGGAATCTGCACAGAAATCACACTCTGAGAATTTGCAAATTTGCAGCGCGCTAACGCAGTGCAGCTACGCAATGCCGTATGTATCATGTGTGGAGTACATTGTCCTCCACATACATGTAGCATGGGCAATTTTACACTTTTTTTTGAAGAATCAACACAATTACATAAAACAATCATCATGGCGCTAGAGCGACGAGCTACCTTAATGTCTGTGGTGCCTCCTTTGCACCATGGCTGGTAGCTCGGCCTATTTAGCTCGTAGCTGTACTGATGAGGCCTTTAGGGCCGAAACAGCTTGCTGTCTACAGCATTGGGTAAAACAATCATCAGATACATTTTATGATTATACAGAGTCTGTCACTCAGTAGGATCACTGCAGGTTCACTGGATGCGTGCCTCCGCGGCCAATAGCACAGCAGGGGACTCAGGCGCGGCAGGAGCAAACAATGCTCCTTGAGCCACGCAGGCACATAGCACCACAACGCACCAGGGCAAACCCTAGGCGGCAGCGCAGCAAGGAGATAATCTGCGCGTATGGCTCCTTGCTCTGCTCAGCCAGGCGAGAGGCGATCCGCGTGAAAAGAGCATTGGCATGCTTGCCATAGCCACCAGAGGCAGAAAGCACAACGGGCACGAAGGAGGCATGCTCAACTTCGCGTACTCGCTCGCTCTTCGTACTTCCGGCTCTTTTCCTGTTCATGGCGTCTATAGCTAGCAGCGAGGGAGGTGGCACGATTCGAAGACCCAAAAGGGTTGAGCACCCGTACATAAATAAAGATGCGCTCGAATCGTGCATCCCACAAACCACTAGCCGCAACGTCCAGCCGAGCTTGCTCCTCCGTGACTGCTGTGCGATGGCGAAAGGCCTCTCTGGTGACGGGCTGGAGGTGGGGTTCCACTGTCATGACTGTTATGAGCGACCTGCCTTAGAGCTCTGGCGGTGATGTCTCTCACTGCGTTATGTCGCAGCGTCGGCAAGCCATCAAACGGGCACGACAGGGCGTGACTCACATTCAGCGGCTTACTGCACATGCAGAGGTTTGGGGGCCGAGTAGGTGTCCAGCCGTACCGGAGGCACATGCCATCCCGGAAATCTCCCTTGGTGAGGGTGAAACCATGGCGGCTGAGGAGGCGGCAGGTCAGTCAGCTAGTTGGACCCTTTTCTGAGGCCAGGTCAAGAACAGGGGCAAGCTCCTGATGATCCGAGCGAAGTGCGTCAGCCATAGACTTGGACGCGCTCCGCTTCTCGGCGCGAACCGTCGCCTTGACGGCCCCGAGCTGAGTCAGAGACGACTCCTGCTCCAGCAGGCGAGACACGAGGCTAGCCGTGATCCTTCTGGATGAGATGTATTGTGCAGCCACTGTACAAGCGTCTACCATACCTAGTCCCCAAGCCGGCAAGGCAGAGAGAGAGTAGGGAGCGAACAGTTGTCCCAGGTGGAGCCTGACCCGTGATGGCTGGGATGAGCCAACCGCTGATTGCGTGTTCCAGCGGTTCAAGCAAGGACGGCGGGATGGAGGAGGTCCGGCAGAGGAAGCACCACTTGTTTTGCAGGCCCTGTGTGAAGGCGGAGTAGGCGGCCTGTGGCTGCGATGCGGCGATGGTCGTGAGCTGCGCAACTTCCTCGCACCAGGTGGCGACCTTGGACTGGACACATTTTTCTACAAACTCATCCGTACCCAAAGGTGCACCAAGGTGGCCGCATCCATCACACGTGACCTGCACATAGGTCCCCTCGAACGTCTCGAGAGCAGCTGCGTACCTGGAGGGCTTGACCAGAAGGAGTAACTTCTGGGCGTTGCAGTGGTATCCATACCCGCGACCGTGGCTGACAAGATTGTCCCACCATTGGTGAACAGGCGTTATCTTCCCACCGGCTGGAGCATCGTCCGCATACCAGTCCTGTTTCGCATCAGGCACTGCAACTTTCTTGATAAGCGGGAGGACTCCAAGCGCGTATATGGGCTTGGCCAGATGGTCATCCTGGGTGGTACCCTCGCACGATTGCAAGCACTCTCCATCAACCAATAGGCGGGATGGTTGGCGGAAGGTATTGATTACAGCTGGCGCTATAGAGGGACCGAGGTGACGGATGTTCCGTAGGCAGGCTTCACGGTTAAGCCGGTTGAGAGCGTTCGAAGCATCGGCGATATATATGGCATCCGCATTCCCCTCAAGGTAGACATCTTGCATCGCAAGGATGGCAGCTTTGATGCCGCACTCCTGACCGGCACACAGTTGAAGGGTGCGCGCTGCACCTTGGATATCTCTCCCGAACGTTGATTGGGCAAATCGTACGAATGAATTACATGTAACGTGCGACGCCAATGGCCCGGAAGTGCTGCACACGCTGTATATGACTGGAAACAGGTTGTCCTTCTAAAGCTGATGATCAGCAGGACTGCTGCTGGCTTGGCCTGGCTGAAACTTACATTTTGCTGCAATGGTGCAGCACACCTGTTAATTGGCTGCATGCATCCTGTCCTGCGGCGCAACATGCCCGGGTGCGGGTGCCGTCTGGCCTGAGTGCATAGGTCATTTTCATAGATGCTTCACAGTAGATAACTGTAATCTGTAATCTCCTCCTGGTGATGTATTTTCGTAGTACCCGTACTCCAGTCAGCTTCAGCCTGTGAAAGGTTACATCTTTCGCATCCATTCCGACTAATTTGTATGCGTTGCTATGGTGGTTGCTATGGGTGTAATTTAAATTTGGCTTGATGGAATACCAAAAGTATTGGTCAAGTGACAGAAGCTCTCTATTGGCTATCATCTGTGAAAATTTGAAAGACCCTGAGCGAAAATGATTTTCACCTTTTTCTAGTTGGTTTTGAATTTCCCGGTTTTGTGCCACGGGCCTGCATCAAAACTGTTCCAGCAAAAGTGCCAAAAAACGACCATAGCTTTTGAACGTCTCGTCGGATTTAGGCAAACCTGATAAATGTCCTGGCTAGTTTATCCTACTCCTTCCAATGAGACTAAAATCGAAGAGATCGGACCAACTTTCAAAAACGTCAGAACACCCAACTATGAGCTCATGCTCGTAAAGGAAATCCATAGTTGTCAAACACCTTACACCAGGAAAGCAGCTTCACGACAATCTTGGGAAGCGAGGAATCGATTCCAACACCGTATATTATTGACATTCACTCCAAGGAAATCAAATTATTGGTGGAGATGCAGAAATTCGCTCAACACGACCCCGGCACTCATTTGTTTGTCCGTGAAGTGGAGAAGTTCAGATCAAGGATATTCATCTGGTGAAAGAGCGTAACGTGTTCATTATTTTTTTAGCCGTATACTCTCTATTGCCCAGACTCAGACTTGATGGGGTCAGAGTGACGAGTATTCTCCTCATAAACCCGCAAAGGGTTGACCATTTCCGAGTTTATGACGAGTATACTCTTTTCTCGTCTGGGCAATGGAGAGTTCACGCTTCGCGTCTTTTCAAAATAAAACGTGAGAAAACATGCTTTAAACTGCATTGTGGAAGCCTCGGAGTTGCTTGAGCCCAATAGACCATTTGCGCAAATAATAGTAGGGGGCCGAAAGGGGGCAAGCGTACGCGTAGGGGGGGGGGGGGGCGTCAGGTGACCCAGGGCTGCAGCAGCGCGCATGCAGCAGCGCTGGGTCAAGCAGACAAAGTACACACTTTCTTGCTGGTTTTGTTTTTTCGAGTAGACAGAGCTGGTGCACAGTCGAGTCACACGGTCATGGAGGGTGAGGACGGCAGAGTCGGTACGAGTAGTGTCGGAGAGTTGGTAGAGGAGGTTCCTCAGCCTTCTTGGAAGCAGCTGAGAGATTTTCTACGAAAGCAGGGTGGTTTGTTGACAGGACGGAAAGCGGAGCTACTTACGAGGTACGTTCATACGGGGCTTCGTCGACTGATTTTTTTTACCTACACTCACTCACGAACTGGGCGTGACATTTGTTCTACATCCAGGGCGTTATTCTACAAATCCAATCCCGAAGCACCATGAAGCAAGCGGTCGACCCGTGATGCAGCTCCCGTCGCCACGCACACTCCAGCACCAGTATTTCCTGACTCTGGCTGGACCCAAGACAGATCGAAACTTCCTCGTGTAACAGCATCCACGATCTTGTCGCATTTGCTGCTTACTGGAAAGCCAGTTCGCACCAGTGAGAGCCATGTACTCATCATCAGGAAGCCTCTAGATCGGGGACACGAGCTGTATTTTGGTGGATACATTCACGATGTTAGTGTGTGCTGTGTGGAGGCCGAGATTTTTATCGAAGCCAAGTGCTGGGCAACCCAGAAGAAGTCTACCAAGTACAGCTTGCGACTTGTGTTCACAGATGACGCCAAAAATGATAGCGCTGTGCTGGATTTTGCTGTGTGTGTGACGGCTGTGTTGCTGGTGGAGATGGTGGGCTCTGCTCTCATGTGTTTGCTCTGTTACTCGTGCTTAGATTTTGGATTTCAGTTTCGGCAGCCTCCAGAGCAACACGATACTCAAACTCACTCTCACTTTCTCCTCGCCGCGGCTTCTTGGAGGGTCTCTCGGCTGGTGGTCGCCGAAAGGAGAAAACACTGGGGATGCTTTCCTGCTTCAAACGACGATGCGGCTTCCCAGAAGGTAATGCAGGCAGCCCGGGTAGATCTGGATGGAAGTCTTTTTCCCTGAAATGTTCACTGCAAACAACAGTGCTGGATGAGATCGTGAAATGCGCTCCCTCTTCGCGCTTACATGCCTGCACCCATCTCGCCCTTAGGTCGGAATCTGTGGGACACTTATGAAAAGACAGATCTCGTTGATCTGATCGACGATTTGAGCAGCCAAACACAGAGCAGTGGTCGTGCGATGGCATCGCAAGGCGAAGGAAAACTACCGACAGAACTACAACCAAATTTCAAAAAACAAAAACAAGAAACGGCCACCGGCACCAATAAGCACACGAAATCTCTGTGCAGTACACCGCGTACACACTGTGCTTGTGCACGCTGTGCAGTCTGCGCGGTCCACGCGCGATCTCATGCACGATGGGGCCCCCATAGACCATGCCTTGCCCCCTTACGCCCCCCTACTTTATTTTGTCAAATGGTCTATTCTGAGCGTATTTGCTACCATCTACATGTAAGTAGGTATTTCGATTATTCTGAGAATTGACCGTGTTGAAATCCTTTAAACAAAACCTGGATGACAATGAAAGTATTGGTTTCGAGCGGTCGAAACCGAAATAGTAAAAATAGGTTAAAGTTCAGTGTCCAGGTGGATGGTTTATAAAATCATTCTCTACTGTTAGATAGTGACTGTGCTGTTTACGTGTGAAATTTGCCAAACCCCTAGATAGGTATTTGGTGCTAAGAATACTGCCCGCGTTACTTGTATTCTCCCAGCACTAGAGAATTTGTTACCTACATCAGAGGGGTTAAAATGCACGTTATTTCCGACGTGCATGACGCGCAGTTTCACGTCAAATTTGGCGTAAAACGTCGATGTGAGCTTCAGGTCTTTGGCGTTATTCTTCGACGCACGAGCCAAATAACGCGAGGTGAACTTTCACGTCAAGTCAGAAATACCGTGCATCTTAACCTCTCCGTTGTATGTACCCCAACTGTCATGAGGGCAACGTGTCTTAGAGTACACGACTGGGCTGGCAACACTGCTGTCCAAAGTGACAGTTACAGGTTAAACATCTGGAATTGTCAGTGTTCACATCACACTTCGTATTCACTCAAACCAAGTAATTCTGAACAAAATAATACCAACCTCGGATTGTGACAGAGACAGTGGTATGTATTGTCTTGGAAGCATTTACACATGTGTCAATCACACTTTGTGGACGCGGAGGATTTGAGCCCATTCCAATACAATCAAAGTGTGTAGTATACGATGTCGTACATGTTACAATGAAGGTAACACCTGATGTATCACTTTCTGTAAACACAATCTGGGAATCATTCCGCTGGAAGGTGAACGTTGAGTTCACAATATTCGTAGGTGTCACCGTCTGTATCATCTGTGTGTCCAGAGTTAATGTTGAGCTCCAATATGAGTTGAGAGGAAAGTTTCCACTTGACATACATGGTATTTTGTGAGTAGCACCCGTGTTGGTCAATGTCAGTGATGTAGGGAATGGTCCAGACTGAACTTGTTGAGCTGTACAAACGGACACATGGAAATAGTAATGAAATGTATGAAAAGACTGTCCAGGCCAGCACAGTCTATAATGGACCCAGGAAGACCAAATACACAACTGGTCATGCAGTGACGGGAAAAGCCATTTCCTGCAAGAAAAAGGAGTGTTTGCAGAAGTAGCCTCAGCCAGTGGCGTATACAGATGGGGTGAGCTTGCAAGCCCTCACGCCTGAAAAAGACTCTCTGAGACAAAGACTTGGAGGGCAGAAACCTCGATCATTAATGTGTCGAGGATATTATTACAAGTCAGTTGGAACACAATTTTCATTGGAAATCAGAGTTTCACGCTTGCCTCGTCATTAGGAAAACACGTTTCTGGTATGAAACGGGGAATACGGTCAAGGAATACAGTGAACAACGCATATACATGCTCTCGTATCCGCACATACACACACACGGACCCGTGCACGCGTACATTAAACAACAACACACAAACCTATACACTATGTCGTCGCAGATATTGTTGCCTGCGATTCCTCTCGCCGTACGCACAGCAAGACCTTCCCTCGCTGTTGGTCCCTTGCCACGCTCGCAATTGCGCCGTTTAAATCCACCAGCAGACCTAAAACACCGATCACTTGACGGGCAGTGGAATGAGCAATGAGCAACTAGGCGAGGTGCAGGATCGATAGAGTGCGATGGCTGTTGGGAGGGACCTGCGAAAGGGCACTTATGTACCTTCAGCCCACCAGCACTCTTGAACCACCTACCACAACGTTGACAAGACTTTGCAACAGGCTGTTGGATGACAGGAAGTTGACGGGCCGCACTGCACTTACGCCGCTTGTACCCAGACGCCGTAAGATGGCGGTCGCAAAGTCGCTTGGAAGGTGGTGGAGGAGGCACTACATCAACGACACTGGATCTCCACGAAGGTCGACCTGGGTTGTTGCGAAGCCCTGGCGTATTCAAGCAGCGTAGGTCGTGCTGTTACGGAGGTAGCCTTAATTGAAGTATTATTCGTTCTCGTTTTGCTTCTTTGAATGTTGCTGAACAGTTTTCCTCTCCATGCTCTGCTAAATCGTTGCCTGTACGCGCCACGTCTAGCGCCTTGTTTCTACGCTAGCACTTTGCACCTTATTCGTCATCACGCGCTCTTCTTCTCAGTTACAATAGAAATATGCAGTTTCAGAGCAGCAGTCAGTAGATATTGATGTGCAGACTGACTGGTGAGCATTTGTTCATGAATAGAGAAAAGTGACCGCCAATCGGTTCAGCCAGGGCTGTATAACGGTGATCCTTGGTGTGCAATCTTTAGGAGTTTAAGACTACTTGAATACTCGAATGTTCGACTGGAGAAAATCAAAGTACCCGAACTCTTGATTTCAGCGCCAACTTTCACCCCTGGAATCAAGAGTTGCACACTCTTGGGGGGGGGGGGGGGTTATAATACTCTTGACGTATGCTCAAACTCGTGTTCTTCAATGTTCTTTCTCACGTTTATACAGTGCATGTAGCAGAAGATGGGAGTGAATCAGACTTTATCAGGTATCCTGGGGCGGACGAGATGATGACGGGTAGTGCGCAAACCTCCGCGTGCATGTAAATTAATTTATGCGTGTTACGAAGTCATGACCTCTGGATTTTAGCAGCCATCACCGCAGGCTATGGATATTGCTCTAATAATGAAAAAAACTTTAAGAGGTATTGTTGATGTTCGGTCATGATTGAAGGAGAGGTGAAGCTACGGGAGAGATGAGCTGATTATTGGTCCGGTGAGGGTGAACTCAGTTTGGCGATTATGGTGACCACGAAGACAGTTCAACATGATATTTGAACGGTAACTCAAACGTATTTGGCAATGTAAAAACGTTTGAAAAGAAGTCAACTAATGAACGGGGGAAGTAATGTTTTCTCTTTTCCATGGCGACCTCTAGCATGCATGGACACCTTGGTATGGGGATACTCTTGTTACACTTTGTTGTACACTTGGAAGTACGAAAAAATCTTTATTTTCCGAATTTTGAGGCTCCAAAAATACAACAAAGTGAATATGTATCCCCACGTGCCAAAGTATAATAATTATGAGAATTTTGCGAGCATAATGCGAGAATCCATGAAAGCATAATTCAATGATTTCGCGAGCATATGTGTGTGTGTGGGAGGGGGGAGGGGGTGAGAGAGTGTACGTGTTTGCGTTATTGTGGAGGTGTTGGTGTTGAAGTGAGTGTTAGCATATGTTTTTGTGTTGTTGATTATTGCTCGGGCATACGCGGGTGTGTGTGTGTGGGGGTGAGGGCGGGGGGATGAGAGTGGGTGCGGGTGTGAGTGCACATATAAGCAAGGTTCCCACTGTATCCTCAACGCAATGATCCTTGAGTTACTTTCCTCTGCATATTATACATTTGTAACTGAACCTTTTTCCCCGTTTCAGACCAGTAAATATATAGCCTGATGATCTCGCAAGTGTGAAACTCTGAGATGTAACACATGTTCCACCTTACTTGTAAGAAGGCTCTGTCCTTCCGGATATTTATGGTAGGAGGGGAATTATCCTGTTTTGTAATATGTTAATATGTCGTTGTGTAACTTACTACAAAAAGCATCTGCATGCACTGTGCGTAGTTGTTGTTTGTTTTGTCGAGAAAGTATCCCTTTGGTGCCTTTCTCACGCAGCGGGCCGCGACGGCGCAGCACGGAAACTGGTTTATTGAATTCATTTCTTGGACGATTTTGACAACCAATACGTCGTTGTTGTTCTTTTTGCACTGGCTATCCTTTCTCCGCTTCCGAATTGCGATACCGTCCACCTGGAAAGCCTTGAAGTGAAACGAGTGGAGGCCGGTTTCGGAGGTAATTTTCGGCCAAACTGCAATCAGTACGAAGTAGTGGTTGCGACTTCGGCGATAATTTGTAAGAAAGGGTTTGCTCCCCACACCGGAGCTCGCGCTATTCCGCCGACTTTACTTGACACTTGACTGACTCACGACTGCCATCCAGAGCACACGAGAAGTCCATCGAACCTTCGACTCGGCAAACCTGCAAGAAAGCACCACTCCCTGCTCAATACACAGTGTTTCGGGGAATTCACCCCTCATCAGTTGAGCTTGAGTAGGCTGAGGAAGATTGTGCCTGAAGAGCACCACTTATATAGTGCTCTCCAGGCACAAACATCACCAGGGATACAAACTTAGAGAGACGCTCCGTTTCCAGCGCGACAAACACCTCGTGAACACCAGATAGCAGCGTGAGTCAGTGTCGCTCCTGGACGGTGAGACAGACGTCGAGGACCCTCGGTCATTCGCAACGCTGTCACCTCCAAACCTACTAGTCGCAAGCCCGCGCTGCGCACAACAGTACGAAGTAGTGGTTGCGACTTCGGCGATAATTTGTAAGAAACTGCAATCAAATCGAAAAATTCGAAGCGGATGATCTGTTAGTATCTATCGAAAGAAGACGTTGGTCCATTAAAAAATCTTTGAACACTCCAACGTACCGTATGAACCAAGGAATTACGGTAAGTTTGACAATTTTGGTACATTAACTGTACGCTGATTGGTCCATTAGCGCGACCGTTGACAAACGGGCCAGGGATGTTTTGTACAGCGTCGGTGAGGGCTAAACCTCGTGCTCATGCTCGGGCGCCTCGTACGGTATTAAACCACTGCTATAATTATTTCTCTTCACCTTGCATGCATTAGAAAGAAAGAAGTCGGTTTGTACTTACCTACAATGTTGAGTTGATATGTCTGCGAAGAGTTGCGATCCGCTGTTCTGCAATGGTACAGTCCAGTGTATGATGTGTCCAGTGTAGGATGTGCTGTGGTGTTCACCTGTACAGTAGTAACTCCTGAGAAGGTACCTGTCTCAGCCAACACTAGACTACCCTCAGTCTTCTCTAGTCGAATGAATGGTCCTGATCCACTGAGCACAACACACGTAGGTAAGTAGTTGGTAACATCGGCTGTAGGTTGTCCATCACCAAAGGTCACTTCGAATGCTGTTGTTGCTTGTCCTGTACCACTAGCACTGAGAGTGACACCTCGACCTGCATGAGCACACACAACAGTACAGTGTTACAATACTAGCTCATTACATCACTAACACTGAGACTAGGTACACTCTACTGGGAAAACAATCCTTCCTTTACCGCTATACAACCACTGGCGAAGGAAATAAAAGATACTTTACAAACAAAACCGCAGAGAACTGGTGCTTAAACCATACCTGACTGTCGAGACGGCGTATACGCCTTTCTAAAACCACTCTCTGAGCGGGAAAATTCAGAAACAGAATGCTTTTTTATTCACCATGTGTGTCAGTTTGCTCATGTCGCACCGCCGATGCACGCCAGGCGATATACACATACACATACTTCAGCGCAGTTAGTGCATAAGTCAGTGCCCAGCAAATGGCTATGTCACAGCGACTGTTCTCACCATCACATCTCCACTGTAAATGAATCTGCTCTGGACCTTTCACATCATCAACACGTCTTTGATTTTCTTTTAAGTTAAAGATAGCATGTCAGAGAGCACCAAACTATGTGTGCAAGTGGATCTCTACGATTTCGCGTAAAAATTGCAGGTATGTTCCCTTTGGGGCGTAGATCGATTGTGCAAATCCCTTGAAAACGTTTCTGAACGGAACCTTGAAACTTGAAGACCCCTCAAAATGGTCGAAATATCTCATCATTAATTTTATAGGTCTAAAAACGAGTAACGCCGCATCATATGCCAACAAGCTAGGAACAAACTCCATCAAGCCAACATTCCCTCACCTTAGAAGAGATCCTGGAGCAGTACCGCTCAGCCACGCCAGGATCCCAGAAGACGAGGGCCATCATCCCCTGACGCCACAAATGATCGTCTTAAAAATAGCCAATTTACAAACGCTGGCAAAACAGGCAGCTACGTCCTCAATTGCCAAGAGCTAAACACCGACAGATAGTAGAACACCTCTTCTAGCGCTTAGGGCATGCCCCCAATCTTTTTTTTGGGTTTACTTGAATCAAAATTTTTTTGCAATTTTCTCCACTCCACGATGCTGGAATATGGCCAATATCATACCTGTGCAAGAAATCTCGCCCCTCCGCGCCGTCTCCTCAGCAATTTCTACTCGAACACTACTCCCAACGCTGGAGAACACACTCTATTCTTGACTCCGACAAGGAAAAGCAGCTGTGATCACTTATTACTCCCAACGACAAGCTTCACCTTGCGCCACGAACACTTTGTTTGAGCGACTGTTGATGCAAAAGTGACTTAAGTCCTGAGCGCGATTCTTGATTTTTAATGCAAGAGGCACGGTGGTTCGATTTGACTCCAAATTGTCCTTCCTTAGTCACCTCGGGACCGTGACTATCAGAAACCAGGAGCGCCTGAGCTTTCTCCGACGGCTCACATTCTAACGCCGGCTGGCCAAAGGGCTGTCTGCAAGGCTTTCGACAGGTCCCTGATGGAGTATGCCCAGCTTGTGTGGATGGGCTCCCCAGCTAGCCACATTCAACACCTGGATAATGTTCCACGATGGGCACTGTGGATCATTGGCCCTGGAGCAATTCTCCCTAGTCTGGCTGTCCGCCGGCCTTTTGCTGCTCTCTCGTGCATGTAACATTGCATTTCATCGCTGATCCTCCTCAGCTACTTGCTGTATTGCGACCACATAGCGTTTCTCCAGCCAACCCCAGAAAAAGGAACCGCCACAGTAATGCCAGTAGCCACGGCTATCAAATTTGTCAGACACGCTCCATGTCTCCACTCCATCCGTCTTGAAGTAGTCTTTCTCGAAACTGCTGCTGTTTTAGTGCATGGAACTCCCTTCCTGAAACGCAGCGTGCTGTCGCTATGCCCACACTAAAAAACCTTTTTTGTCAATGAAGGCAAAAGTATACAGACACTTGAGAGACCGCAACTGGCACTGGGCAACATATTTCCTGTAATTGTCGAGCTCCTTGCTTGCCAGACGTAGGGAGTTGTTCGAGTTGCTGCTGATAGTTCTGCTACCCCTCCCCGTGCAGTTCAGTACTCCTCACGTAGTATCACAGATAGTATCACAGATACATCGTATTCGCTCCCCCCCCCGTTTACTCGCCGTTATTAGTATCTTTCTCTCTTACTATGTGCTTCCATAGCCTTTACTGTGTTCTTCGATAGCCACTTCTTTGCGTCTGATTTATCTTTTTCTAAACATATACCGGTATACCGACACTTTTACCTTCGCTGTGCCCATTCTACCTCTCCATAACTAGATCTAGCTTCGCTTTACATTTCTGTTTCCTTTTATCCTCTTGCGTGCTCGTGGCATTGAAACGGAGACCTTTGGTCGGTGGAGCTCCTTGCACCTCACCATCACTGCTGCCCAATACAGCACCTACTCGGTAGCTGCTTGTTTTTTTGTCCACATATATAATGTATATTTATGGTCTAGAAAGAATACTTTTTGGATTCATATGTATACTACGAGCTGGGTTTGTGTTGTGTATAATACTAAAATAATAAATAAATAAATGGTTACCTTTCACAGCTTGGTTCTCCAACAAGATACATACTGCCATGAGCCAGCTCGCTGTACATTGAATATACCGAAGATAAGAACATTAACCATCAATTAGTCACATTCAGTATTCCATACTATACTTGTAATAATTATGTTGCCTTCACGTGAACGCAAACAGTGAATGCCGGTACTTTGTTTATAGAGTATAAAAAGGTAGAAAAGATGTGCCACACAGCTTCTATGAAAATAGACAACATACATCTAGTAAAAAAGTAATTATCGTGTTCGTTTCCAAAGGGAGCTCACGACAGCTGCTAACACCCGGTAAACCCTAGCGGCAGATGCAGCGCCTAACTGTGGTGGTGAGTGGATAAGTCTCACAACCACTGACACAAGTGCCGAAAAAGACCCCATTAGCCGCAGCCATGTATCCCTTGTGCCTGGCCACAAGTTCCCAGTCGACTGTGGGTAGCAGCATGCCTGGAAAAACCGCTCCCAGGCAGGACTTGAACCAGGTACCTCTCGTCTCAAGTCTCAAGTCTCAATCATGGTCTTTGGCCAACCCACTTTGCCTGCCTTCGGCGCGTAGATCAGACTCAGGATATCTACATGTGCCTGTGTAAAGGTAATCAGTACTAATCAAATATCGTTACAGTATATCTTGTTCTTTGGACACGCAGAACGCACCTGCTTTTCATTTTCAGCTTTCCAGCAAGTTAGATTCAGGCCTAATATTAATCTGGCTTTGGAAACATCATTGTCAATGTCATTGATATCAGATTCGGCCTCATTGTCAGTGCGATGCTCTGATGATATCGATATGTTTGCGTATCATTCTTTTCACAATGATGTGCGAGTACATACCGGTATTATCATTTTTTTCCATTTCTGGAAAACTATTCTGTCCCTTCACCTACTTGCATGCTTGCATAGTCATATGGTTTCGTCTATCCTGTGGCATATATGTTCTAATGAATATGTCACAAACTAGTTTATGGTAAGATCAGGATTCGTTCAGTTTTCGAAATGCATTGTCCACCTCCTCTTTCCATGCCCATCAGTCGTGCAGCGGCCTCCAACAAATCATCCAATTGCACCCACAGGAATTAATGACTCACCTCTAAAGCCGGTATGCACGCCAATGGCATTGCGTCTCCATTTCATTCTGTACGCCATATACACAACAAAGCTGAAACTGGATACATGCAGCTGCAAGGCATTACAGAAATCGGGTTCTTTTTAAATTTCATTCTGCGGCAGGGCATTTCTTTCCAAGGCGTCCAGAAGCAGTCCAGCTTTTTCCCAAACACATTGAACGCCAGTCACAGTCTGTCTGAGTGCTGTGTATGTTCATGTCAGCTGGTTAACAACTGGATTCCATCTGTCACTGACACCTCCAGGGCCTACTAGGCTGCTGCCTGACAGTTTTGTGCGAGGCACTAGCCGCGCGGGTACATTCCACACAAATCTCCTGTAGAGATACTATTACTGCAGAAGGAGTTTGAAAGCTATCCAGCACTACTGGTGTACTTGCGTACAGTGTTCTTAGTATGTATATTCCATAATTATGAAAAGGCAGAGTACACATCACTTGGATGATGGGAGTAGCTCAACTTGGCTCTCGTGCCGATTACCCATACATGGCAACAGTCACATCAGCGATAAAGTCTGCTCTGGGGAACAGCAGTACCCTAATGTATCAAAACTCTGAATGGTAGATCACTAGCCACAGGGAAGCCCATTATACACTCGTAAGATGTTCATGATCCTTAGTTCACTCCACTGGGTCAACTTCACTCATATCACCTGATTAGTCTGTATATTGACGAACGAGTTGGCTGTCCTCACATTGGACATGAACATTTACATGTTTGTGTAGTGTTGTAGCGATGTGGCTAGAATTTACGGATACCTGGATCGTGTCTCATGGCCGATCATAAACTTTGACAGTAGGTCTGGAACTCAACTTGTTCAAGTCTAGAAATAGATGAGAGCAGTCAGCTCATGCAGCTAGTGCAACCACATGACATATAGTACCCAGCCCTGTTGTCAGTTATTCACACACAAGTCATGGATAACTACGGCAACACCGTTGTCTGTCAAAAAAAGCGCCATTGTTACAATGGAGAAAGAATCATGAAATATGGAGCTCCTTGCCGCTGGGTTGCATGTGCATATACTTACAGGTGGGGAAGGTTTTGAAAAAAAGCATGTTCCCTGGTCCAAACACATCAAATACAGCTCCAGATAATGAGCGCTTGACGTGAACAGAGTAAGCAAACCAATAATGCAAGAGTGTATTGTTTTGTCGGGTACTATCTCTTACTACTGTGCATGCTGGTATCAAAGTGAAAATTCCACACGGTTTTGCGTTATGCCTAGAACACGCTCCACAAACTCTTCCACCAAATTGTTTAATAGTGTCTAGTAGTAGTAGTATAATTTATTATTGTAATAGGGAACACCCAACAGGCGTTGCCTTTTACTGGGAACCCTAATCTCCTGCTCTTTCTCTACTCGCAGGCTTATTACTTTATTTTTAGTTGTTAAAGGGGAAGTGCACCCTCAAATCAACATCAGATATGTTATTAGGAAATATCAGCCTGTCAAATGGTGCCTGTCTCGTCTTCATCCGGTGACTGCGACCGAAGATATACGCAACTGAAATATCCCTTGGATCCATGTTTTTGGCGCCGCCATGGCGTCGCGGAGCTGTGACGTCAAAGAGATAGAGCAGCTCCTGGAGCTCCGAAGTTTTACTTCGACTTGGACGGAGAAGAAAGTGAAGTCGTGAATGTCGAAGGCGGAAACAGTATGAGCGGCGACGATTCAGACAGTAGGCCTAGCTCCTTGTCAGGAGATGACAGTGAATCTGAGGAGAGCGAGATGGACGCCAGTGATATCCTCGCGTACGCGAAGGAACTTGAATAAACGAACTGGCACTGGGCCACTCATAGCATAGGCGAGTAAGAGGGTACAGTGTCCTACCCTGCTTGGACATACATGTAATCTCTCCTCGCAGACAGTCTCCTCTTGAATTTAAAAGTCTAGCAGCGTTCACATCAATACTCAACTTATTCTTTTGCTCACTGAGCACACAATCTCTCCATTTTCTTTCTTCTGTTTTCTTTGTCAATTTTATCCTCCCTACCCAATCTCCCTTTGGTGCGTCCATGGAGCTATGAAGCTGAGACATCTGGTCGGCGGAGCTTAATGGGCCCCACCACCACACTCCATCATTCACCCCAGTGTCTGGAGATATGTGGATTTTGTAGAGAAAAAAATAAATAATACTAATTCCGAGGATGAGATCATGCAGATGTCGAGTGCGAAGCCAGTGGATGTAAATGCTGACGAAGCTGCAGCGGCTGCTGCCGACACTGACCTTCCTGTTTGCTTAGAGAACTGCTGGCCACCTGGCGATAGCGTTCGCATTACATCCTGGTGTGAATGTGGCAAATGCGTAGTTCAATTATTGCGGAACGACTGCAGTTGCTGCAAAGATGTTCAAGAATCGGCTGCGATTAGCGAATCTGGCTGCATTACTTGGACCTGACAGTTCGAAGAAAGCTGCAGAAACCAGCACGCACTCTACATTTGTATTGCACTGCGCGGCTATTTAGACACGATCCATCAGCCGGCTGGATCGAAGCCATCTGAATTTGAAAACCAGTACGTGCTAATATTGTAATACTGTCCTCGATGTTGCATTGGAGAATGTATTTTTCATCAAAATAAATACTGCTCCCTGGCGCGAAAATATAGTCAGGACACTGGCTTGTATACTTCGTCAAAAATAATTTTGTTGTAGTGTGCTGCTGTTGCACTGAAATGTACGTTGACATGTGAGATTAACAACAGGAAGATCTACTCTCCTGTTCCCCACCGAATTGTTATTGAATTATATACAGATGCAATTACTCAAGTCTGTGGACAACAACTGTTTCGCTCTGTTAGAGCTCATCAGCACAGCTGAGAGGACCGAAGCGCAGCTCTTCGCAATGAAATACGTTTCCGTAAAGCAAAGCATTTTTATAAAGAGCTGCAAACCCCGCCAAGAGTGCTCGAAATGCTCAAAGAGCAGTGAGCGCTGCACAAGGCGAGCGGCAAGGATTCGCGCTAAGGTAAGAGTGCTCAACCTGACGACATTGCTGACGCTAGGGAGCATAATACTCAAATCTGTGGACAGCATCTGTTTCGTTCTGTTAGAGCTCATCAGCACAGCTCAGAGGACCGAAGCGCAGCTCTTCGCAATGAAATACGTTTCCGTAAAGCAAAGCATTTTTATAGAGAGCTGCAAACCCCGCCAAGAGTGCTCGAAATGCTCCAAGAGCAGTGAGCGTTGCACAGGGCGAGCGGCAAGGGCTCCTAAGGTAAGAGTGCTCAACCTGACGACAGTGCTGACGCTAGGGAGCATAATAATAAAGTCTGTGGACAGCAACTGTTTCGCTTTGTTAGAGCTCATCAGCACAGCTCAGAGGACCGAAGCGCAGCTCTTCCCAAGGAAATACGTTTCCGCAAAGCAAAGCATTTTTATAAAGAGCTGCAAACCCCGTCAAGAGTGCTCGAAATGCCCCAAGAGCAGTGAGCGTTGCACAAGGCGAGCGGCAAGGGTTCGCGCTAAGGTAAGAGTGCTCAACCTGACGACATTGCTGACGCTAGGGAGCATAATACTCAAGTCTGTGGACAGCAACTGTTTCGCTCTGTTAGAGCACATCAGCACAGCTCAGAGGACCGAAGCGCAGCTCTTCGCAATGAAATACGTTTCCGCAAAGCAAAGCATTTTTATAAAGAGCTGCAAACCCCGTCAAGAGTGCTCGAAATGCTCCAAGAGCAGTGAGCGTTGCACAAGGCGAGCGGCAAGGGTTCGCGCTAAGGTAAGAGTGCTCAACCTGACGACATTGCTGACGCTAGGGAGCATAATACTCAAGTCTGTACAGATGCAATTAGACACAAATTACATTGGCGAAAGCTCATTGCTACAAATCTCCGTGGGTTTATATTTTCAGGTGAACTATACCATGGATTGGCAGAAGCAACAGATGAAAGCCAACCACACTGGCCTGGATGAGGGAAGCTCCTCCATCCAAGGCAGCGCTGCAACGCTTCAAAGTAGCAGTGTACAAGTACCTCCTGGTGCAAACTTGTGGCACTGCTGGCGACATGCACACTACAGACTAGCATATTGCCTGATGGCCTAACTCATTCTTCTTTCTTTCTTTCTTTTTTTAATCCCCCCCCCCCTGGTGCGCCTGGAGAGCCATTATACGGAGACCTTTGGTCGGAGGATTCCACAACGCCCCACCTACACAGCTGAGCTAGTAGATACTATTAATCAGCCCCGACTCAATAGTAAATTTAAAAATGATTTTTTATTAATTTATTTTAACTGTTGTTAGTTCTGTCAACCCTCAACTTCTGTGTTCTAGTCATTTCTTCGTTCTCCCTGCATGCAACTTTGTTATCTTTCTTGCTCTTTTTTTTGTCTCGAGCCGGCTTTGTGTTCTTTCAAAAAAAAATAAGAAAAGCCAGTCATAAGTTCTCGTTATTCGTAGCGCATACGACCTTTTCTGTTTAACAATGATAGGAGCGATGAGCAATATAAGAATTCATCGAACTAGCCTTCGTACAACGCTCTTCAGGAAGCATCGTTGTCCTGATTAACAAATTTCAAAACAGACCGTTATAAAGCATCACACGACGTAAGTTTCGCTGTATGGTTCATGACGGCTCATCAGGTGTGCAATTTGAAACTCCGGTATTGAGCCAATAATAAAAGTAGAAAGGAAAAGAACATATGGAAACGAGTTAAGATTAACTTTCCACCACTGTAACTAGATACTATATACAGTCAGAAAGTGCAACAACTAGGCACAAAACTGAAATCTTGTTTTGTAGTCAACTAGTCCATCACAATTTCATGCATGAGGAGTAGTGTAGGAGTTTGGCTTTCGGCTTGTACAATTCGTTTTCGCCAAGCTCCCCTTTTTTTACTTATCTTTGATATAATATGACCCACTCAAGTTGGGTGGTGTGCTGCTTTGCTGCTTCGACTTGTAGTTAGACCACTTTGTCAAATATCCTACTGGTCTTTTCATCGTCCGATAACAATAGACCATCTTTGTTCCGTTGGGACTGTAGCTTGTGCTCGTTTTCGTTGCGCTTGCCTTCCCCTCTTTGGTCTTTCCATAACCTTGAACCTTCCTAGTTG